ACGCAATGATGCATAAAGTCACAGAGGATAAGATAGTTTCTTTTTGTTCAATTAATTACTGTGAAGCTTCTGCCACAATGCTCATAATAGGGATAGAATATAACTTTAAAAATCACTAAAAGTGGATGATGAGATGTTAATGAGCCACTTTAAAAGTAAAGTTTATTGATTGATATTATTATCAGTGGTATCAGTATTGGGGAAGTAGGATAGATACTGTATGATATATATGTAAATCATTACTGTAGGAGAAGGGGTGGGACTAGATAAGTTTCTTCTCACTCCTTTTTGAACATGGAAAACTTGATCATTTGTTGTTGTATTCTTTACTTTTTTATCATTATTTTTTCTTTTTTTATATGTTCATAATAAACTTCATTCAAATCAAATCCAATCAAATCTAATCACGGCTTTTACATTTAATTAAATGGTGGATATTTTCCCAAGTTTTCCCATAAATATGAACTGTTTTGACCATGAAAATGCAACTGCATTTCGTAGCTCTGTACTTGTGACATGTGCAATGACAATAAAATTTAATTCTATTCTATTCTATTCTAAAACTTATCTTGGCACCTATACTTCAAATAACCTCAAACTCTCACTTTTTACATGTAAAGCGACTGAGAGGAACCTTCGAGTTGGGTTAATTTTGGCGCCCCCTGTGGACAAAGCAGCATCTTATGTCTCTGTACTGATCTTGCACTTTCTTTTCGCTGGCTTTCAGCAAATATATCACTTACACTAATTGATGCCATACAAAAAAATCCTGTTTTCGCTGCATGCTATGAAACTCCCTGTCTGACACCTACCCTCCCGACAGTCACTAAAGACCTTAAAAACAATTGTGAAGAAGTTACAGAACAAGTAGACACGAGTGTTAATTTCAGTCTTTTTTATGACCAGATGAAAACTCCTTACTGGTGCTTTAATGTGTAACTATCATAATTTTAGTCACAGCTTATACTAAACTAGAAAGTTTTTAGTTTTTTGAAATGTCAGTAAAATCAAAAGTGTTTCCCCTTTTTTCTATCCTCTGTATCTCCGATTCCTCGGACTCTAATCCGCTCTGCAGGAGCATGTCATCACTGTGTCATTCTCACATGTCCACTCTAAGCTGAGGCTGTTACCCGCTGGCACACCAGCACCGTGATCTTCAGAGAGGAGATAGGGAGGCGGAGGAGTGATGGCAGGGTGGGAGTAGGGTAGCCGGGGGGATGGTATGAAAAGAGCCGGAATTAGCAGATTTAAATAAAGTCAACTTTCCGGCCATCTGGCCAGTGTTTAGGATAGAGGGGGGTGAAGCCTTGAAGGCTGGCAGAGTCACAGGGAGAAAGTGATATTTTTAGTGCTTTGTATAAAAAGCTTGAAATTCCCTAAAAACCAAGAGTTGCATCCTCTATTTCCTAATGTATTTGCAGATAAAGGTGCAAAAATAGTTGTCAGAGATGAAAACAGTTTAATTTTGCCGTTTGTATCTGGTCAGTGCACTCCAGATTGATGAGTCGACAGCAGCACACCCTAAAGTCAGCGTAAGTGGATCTACAGACATGCATCGTGGCTCAGGAAAAGTAGCACATGTGCCAAAAAGAGGAAATCACATCATTTGAAGTCCGAAGAAGGTGACCAAGAGGACATATCCCCAAAGCAAGCACTCTAAAATTAAGGACAAAACAATGTGTCAGCCAATGATTGATCAGTCTGCGGTGTTTTGTCAAAATTCAGTCGTCTCTGCAGCCCCACCTCCAGGCACTTCCTATAATCAAAGGCCATGCCCACCCATGGCTAATTAGACATTAAGCAAACGTCAAGAGGGCCTGATTTAAAGCAGCCACCCTGGACCTGAGCAAAACAAAGGGAGCCGAGCGGGGAAATGGGAGAGATCCAGATCAATATTGAGCGCTACTTTTGTTTGCTAAAATGCCACAGAGGCTGAAATAAATCAGATAGAGGAGGCAGAGAAGGGCCGGCGATTGCTTTCTCACGGCTCCCCGGGCTCTGCGCTGAGAAAAGGCACACCTGGTCTAACAAAGCCCAGGAAGAGGGGAGGGATGAGCCTGCACGCAGAAATGCTCCCACACAACCGCGTACACAAACACTCACACACAAACATACCCTATCTGACTACTTCTACATCATATAAACAAGAGAGGATTTATAAGCATTTTCTTTAGAGCCAGCTGCACGCTCCGCCTCAGCGATGGTTGATGCAGAGTTAAAATAAGAGTGACCGAGTTTTGGAGAAGACCGCTGAGGATTTATATGTTTTAGAGACTCTTTAGTGAAGCCCGGGTCAGATACAATAAAAAAGCTAGTGAAAGTTTATGTGCCAGTTGTGAGAATGTGCATTTACTTTGCAAGGACATCTGCTTCTTTAAAACATGCGCACTTTGGACAGAGAGAAAAAACAAGAGAGAAAATGCAAACTTAAAATGTGATTGATAAAACTTATTTTCTAATAGTTTTGAAGCACATTTTGTGGGATTATTTGTTTAACTTGGTAAAATAAGATAAGATAAGATGTTCCTTTATTAGTCCCACAAAGGGAAATTCCAAAATTACAGCAGCATAGCATAGATACAGAAAGAGAAAGATTAAAAAGATAAAGAAACTTTGACTTAAAACAAGATATGTGCATCCATCATATTTACATCTTTATAGAATTTACATAATAATAGGGTTTATTGCAGATTGAGGTTCCTGTTGTGGAGTCTGACAGCTGCAGCAAGGAATGGCCTGGGATACCCTTCTGAATATCAATGAGGAATAGTAGTTTTTGATCGGTTATTAAACACCTTTAGTTGATAATTTTGACTTTACACAACACTAACAGAAATTCAAAACTGAGTGTTTTATGAAATTACATGAACCGCCGAGGGTTGATCATAGAGAAGATACATGTTGTTTTTGTCTATGTATGAATCGTCTCTGTTTTACACCAGTCCAACCATTTTGCTCTCACACATACTGGATTGTTTATTTTTTGTCACTGCATATGAATCGAATCAGTAAGTAAAATGTAGAGTGAGCACATAGTTATACAGATAGCATACTAGTTTGGTAAGCAGGACTCTGAAGGGTTTCTAGTTTGCCACCTCTTCCACCAACATTATCCTGCTTATTACTGCCAAGTTGACACAAATAATGGATTGAAAAATGATCGTATTAATTTAAAAATGATTTCTGTGTTCAGGTTCAAAAGAACAGTCTCTTAATTTGCTTCCAAAACAGCTGATTTTTGGCTAACTGAGAATTACCATCAACTTTTCAAAGTAACAGTAAACATTTCAATCTGCAGTCAAGTCATAGTCAAACATTAGCCTGCTTGTTGACGTTTGTGTCTTTATTCAGCTTTCTTGATTGATTGATTTTTATCATAATACCATGCATATACAATACACCCTGCCCAAAGGGCTTACAAGGCACCTTTAATTACATACAAAGACCAGAGACCAAAGTAGACGTGTAAATTACAAAATTATCGTAGAAAAATAAAGTATTCTGAGGTTTCCTCCGGGCTTTGGAAGCAAAAGAGCAACAAAACATGTCAGGACTTTTAAAACAACTCTTTAACTCGTCATAAAACGGTCTATGTGAAAGAAAATGTGTTTCATTTTCAACTCCACCTTATTCACATAGTTCACACAGTCTGAGTTTATTATTCTGGATATAATCTACCAACTTCGAACACAAGAGGAGGGATTCCTGTTCTCAATCAAGCGACCAAAGACATCTGACTTCTGGTTAAATTTACTTTAACATGAAACTACTCAGCACTACAACAGTGTTTAATTTGACTATAAGCTGTTTCTCTTAAATTTAGTTATCCAGGAATGAAACTCTGCAGCTAAAATGGGCGCAACTTTATGAATCACCAAGAAACAAAGAACTGTTTAAAGAGCTGTCTTTGTACCCACATATTCCAGCATCATAGAGATGGAAATAGATGTAGATTATAAACATGATTTGCCTTCAACACTGATGCAAAAAGTGACGTTTTCCTCGTGAGCTGGCCGTCCTGTAGTCGTCTGTCACTCTCTGCAGAGTTACAACATTTTCCATCCAGTGAAAACCGCTCACTTCTCTCCCCTCTCATCCAACCCCAACCCGCCCTCGCTCTGCAGCATCTGCGGCGTGCCCTCCCCCCCTCTCTGTAAATCATACTGTCACTTCTCACACTCGGCACCTCTGGAGCGTGAGCCGCTGAGCTGGTTTCAATTTGAGCTCACTGAAAAGTTAATAAGTTTGAGATAAATTCAGCTGGCCTGGCTGGAGCTGATTTGGAGCGGTGTACTCTTTCGCCCCCCTGATTAGCCCTGGTCCTAAACTTCAGTGGCAAAGCACAAAGAGAGAGTCTGTCTCACCCTGACCCCTAATGCAGTGTGACCCCATGCAGAGAAGCCTGTTATCATTGCTAGTTAGAGAGTTCAGGTTACAGGTGAGTCAGGTACTAAAGAGATAACACAGATATATAGAGTAGGTGACTGCCAGCTGAGAACATCTCGGTCGGTGGATCCTCAAACGTCGAGCTGGTAGAAGACGGAGAAGTAAAATGACGTGGAGAACCGTCACACAAGACAGATCAACAAGTCAAACAAGTCAGCATTGTACCATGAGTGAAATTATTCATAGTAATTGAGAGTGGCTTGCCACACATAAGTGCCCATGCCGTTTAGTAAAATAAACCTCACATGGAGCTAATATTCGTCCGTGGTAACCTTTGGCAACTGGCGTGATGTTGGTAAGCACCCGTTTGGGCGCTCATTAACCAGCTGGAAGTGACTAGAGACCTTTCTGCTTCCCACCGCATGATTGGAGGCAACCCCCAGTAACCCAACGCAGGCCCCAATTATAGATAATTTAAGACTTAAGCAATTTGGACAGATTTCTGGAAATTACTGTAGAGGTCTTGTTGCTGTCGCCGAACAGAAACAAGAGCGGGATATTTTGACAGGTTTTTACCACAAACCGGTCCTCGGATACACAAAGGGAGAGGTTACACGGTGCCTAATATCCATGTGTTGATTGGGGCTAAAGTCAGGGGGTTAAGCAAGGTCTAGTTAGCCTGGGTTCTGAATTACCACGGAGAAGGTGAAGCAAAACAACAGGCCTTCATCCCACCTGTCGGCCAATTACTGCTACATAAACACGATGGTCGGTCGGCTGCATGCACACGCATAAGATAAATTGAGGTAGGTGGTCGGACTTCCCCAATTAAGGAATCTGACGGACTGAAAAAGCTCACTTTAAGACAAATATCATGAAATCCCTGAGCTCTGACCAGTCTACGGATCTTTTACACGGTTTTAGAGAAGCAAATGATCACCCTGATGCCATTTTTCAAGGCTAATCTGTCTCCGTTTGTATATTCTCTCAGTTTTTCCACCTACATGACACACGTTTTTCATCCAGGCCCTTTTCCCCTGCTGTCTTTGGCCCCTGTGACCCGCATGTGTTAACAGGTGGATGCGCCTGTTTTTGCCGCCTGACTCTCTGTGTTTGCCCATGATGGTCAGACAGGAAGCCGGCCAGACTGCGGTCGGCTTGAGCCAGGTTTTCAGTCCTTTCGGCGAGGTGTGAGGAAGACGTGGTGACATCACTCTTGTGGGATAGTCCCGTGACGATGAAGGAGGAGGAGACGGACTGCAGATCTATTTCTGGCTCTGCTTATATACACTAGGGGTTTGCAGAGACACCATAACCTTCAACTGTATCTGTCCAGCCTGGTGCCACAAGACCCAGTTACCTTAGTGAAGGGGTCTGGGACCGTACAAGTCATTCATGGGGTAAGGTGACCAGATGTCCCAGACAATCCCCGTATTGGATGACCTGTCCCCGGCTAAAGCTGTCCCTGGAAATGTCCCAGATTTAAGTGTTTAAGCGAGAACAAAAATGTTGTGTGTAGACTAGAACAAAAATGGTTATGACGGTAGCCGAGTAGGTAGGAAGCACGAGTAAGCATGTTGCGCGCAGTCCTGAACAACAGTTTTTATGGGGTATGTGTGCTGCTATGGAGTAGTACCGACATGTTATTATGGGGTGCATTTCGAAAAGACCCCCCGGAAGCGACCCAACTCATAAAAAGGGCTTCAAATGACCTTTCAGTGGTGGAAGTGGAAGGTCCTCAATCTGAGACCCTACCTATCAATTGAAGCACTCTTGTACACATTGAGGCAGAGGCCTAGAAAAACTCTTCAAACAGGGTTTTGTGCAGCCTAACAAATGATGATGAATATTAGCTTTGACACAAAGTTGGACACATTGGTTAGTCTAGGATATCTGCCTCTGCTTTCAGGTAAACCACCGTGGTATCAGCCAAACCAGGACTAATCCTAGTGCTTCCTGCTGCTAGGCCCTGCTGCGTATGAGGGAGTTGCAGCTCAGAGGATCTCTAGTATTCAAAGATATTCAGGTCCTATTATGACTCGTATGGTCATTTCATTCAAGCCATGGGATTACTGAATTTGCGTGAATGTGCATAATGTGTGAATGCATGTAATTGTGCGTGTGGTCTCATTCACATCACACATGTGTACCCCCTCCCTGCACCGAGGCCGCTACCACTTCACCCTGAGACACAATTAAGAGCCGGGGCCGGAAAGCAGGCGTGAGCGGGTGGACGCTGAAACGAGACAGGCTCGCCGGAGCAGTTCCTTTCCCTCCTCGTCTCCGAAGGCTCCTTGGCAAGACGCAGGCGGCCCGACATGTCAGGGCTGAGCAAAAGAGCAATCTGTCTCAACACAGTTGGCTGACAGCGGGACCTGAAGTAATCCCAACACGTAGCATCTCTGTGCTTGCTTTGCACTGAGCCATGTGTGCTCACACGAAGGGAAACAGGAAGGTCTGATCAGGCCAGCATTTCACGGCTGTTAAGGTGGTCTGCACCTAAATCAGCTGAACTCACGGGGCATGGCCACCGGTCACTCTCCATGCTGTAGACCAGCTTTTCTTGAGAGTGCCTGTCCTCTTTTAACAGTCTGCGCTTCACCAATTTTAAGTCTTCAAACCTTGAAACATCTAATCTTATCAAAGTTATAAACTCAGCCTGAAATGACGACGCTACCGGTAACCTCTGTCAACAAACGGAGACAAATCACCTCTTAAATGTCTATTCCAGAGTCCCTGAGGTCAAATGACAGTCCTGACTACATATAAAGGGCTATATTTAGGACGGTGTCTTGTATTGCCTCTAGCACCACATTAACCTTTGACTTCTAACAAGGCACTAAGCTCCTGCTGGTTCACAGCTGGGACTATTACTCTGAGCACTGAGGTCAGTGATAGCACAAGATGGAAAATGTTGAATCTGTTTGTTTTTCCTGTGAATCTGAGGATTTTTCTCACAATCATGGAGGGGGATTTCTTTTCAAACCCAGTCTGGCTGGTGTGGTCTTTTGGAGGACAGAGTAGAAACCCGCCCCCCTGTCTTTGGTTTGAGATGTGTACCCAGAACAAACAAACAGATTTACAGCTCAAAAACACAAGTGCTAAGTGAGAGTGTCTCGTCTCGTTGGGTTTTCAAAGAGCCTTTAATCGGGTCTTTGAGTTTCTCTGATATGAAGTGTTTGCTTAGCCTTAACCTTTGATGTAATGACCGAGAGATGCTGCCATTTAAGTGCATTTTTGTCGTATTTAATGTCAAAATAAATCGAAATTATCAATCATTACAAACAAACCACTAATACTGAATTTATATCTTTTGTGGTTTTTGCAACTAATATTATTTACACCCATATTATCTCATCCCCAGCTCCAGAAAAGTTGGAATACTGTTGTTATGAATTCCCTGTTTTTTTTCTGTCTATGTGTGATACCACTTTAAGTAAGTTTTTGTTCAAGCACCTGTTTGGGTCCTTGGGACTGAACTCATTTTTGTTTAAACATAGATACGGGCAGTTTGGGGGTCCTAAAAGCCTTTAGCAATAGCAGAGATTACCGCTACATTCCGCGATCAATACCAAGTTGTTCTTTCAAGTTGATCATGCGTTTGTGAAGAAGTAATGTTGACTATTTATATGTTTGTTTATATTTTACTGGGGTTAGCATACTTACATATCGCTTTACTGAAGCTATTACAACTGTGTAAAATGTAAATTAAACACAATTAGATGATTTTCAGTCATTTAAATCCCAATTTTTTAACATGAAAATACTATTATAACATATTTAATGTGGAAAATGAGATTAAAACTAAAATATATACAGCCCACTGCAGTAGAAAGAAGCAGGAAGACGCTGCGGTTTCTTGTTACGGCATCCCAAAAGGGACAAAATACAAAATTGTATTGTATGAAAAGCAATGAAGCTTCTTCATATTTAGGTGTAATTTTCATCTATTGATTTGAAAATATTAAATAGACTTTCAGATTAAAGATGAAATAAAATCCAAATAATGTCAAGAGTTGCGAAATGTCCCTTTTCCATGAGTGTCTAATTGGTTTCTGGTGTTTGACACTCAGGTGACAGGTGTTTGTATTTCCCTTCCTGTAAGCCACAGTAGGTTTATTTAGGTTTTCACATGCAGACTACATCCACCGCCCAGCTCCGGCTCTGTCCTATACAGCAGGAGGAAGGCATCAGCTGTGACTCACGTCTCTATCCGGGCAGCTCTGCCAGCCTGAAACACAGCTGAGGTCCTGGATGTAACTTAGCCCTTCGCCTCTATAACCTCAGCTGTAAAATGACACAAATCCTCAAGTAGCTCCTCAGCAGCCATCAAACCCCGAGTGCCTGTTAAAACTCACTGACTCCCCCTCACCTCCACCATCCCAGCCTTGTCTTATAAAATCAGGAGCCATAAAACCACCACTGGGGCCGTTCTGACTCTCCATGTGTCCTCTGTGTGGGATCGCTCGTACATAAAGATGTCAGGATTAATATTTTGAGCGCAGTTGCTTCAGTTGGGTGTTCATATCGAGGAGTTGAGGTCAGAACACAGATGCTGCAGGGTCTTTCCTTACAAAGCAGATGTTTGTTTCCTTCACATTTTACCTGTATGCACCAAGTTTACAGTTTGTAGCATGAACAGCATATTAGTGTCATTAGGCTTATGCAATCTAACATTTTATCTGTAATTAAACATCTGCATCGTAAAATACAGCTGTAGGAGGGATGAGCAAGTTATTGCTTTAAAAGGATATTCAGACGTAAAATTAAGTTAGGGTCAAACACACCGTATCACCGAGTTAGACACCCCGCCGAGAGATGAATGTTGCTGACTTCTTGCTTCTCTAGTTATACCAACTTCAAAAACAACCGCAGATAGCAATACAGAGAGCCACGTGCTCAACCAAAACGCCACTCTATAGCCACAAATAATGTTCAGAACAGCACCAAACTTCATCAACAGGACATATAGGGTCACAGCCATAGTACTAGCCACCAAACATCTTTTTAACTTTGCCTAATTTCTTTAGCAAAGAGACTAAACACAACTCACCTACTCTCTTCCAGCAGCCGCTTGTTTGTACAGAGACTTCCAGGCGAGTCCATCGACTGCAGCAGGGTGACGCAGCTCAAGGAAGAACATTTATGATCATTACTTTATCATTTCCTTGAAGTAATAATCACCATTTTAATCATTTTGCACTGCAGACGCTGTAGGTCTTCTGCCTTAGCGCCCTTGGTCTGATTGCATTTCCATGAGGAAATGATCATCAATGTTCTTCCTTATGCTGTGTCCCCCCCACTGCAGTCGATGGACTCACCCAGAGGTCTCCGTACACACAAGCGGCTGCTGGAAGAGAGTGGGTGAGTTGTGTTTAGTCTCTTTGATAAAGAAATTAGGCAAAGCTAAAAAGATGTTTGGTGGCTAGGACCCTATATGTCCTGTTGATGAAGTTAGGTGCTGTTCTGAGAATTATTTGTGGCTATAGAGTGGCTATTTGTTTGAGCGCCTGGCTCTCTGTATTGCTATCTGCGATCGTTACTAAAGTTGGTTTATCTAGAGAAGCAACATTCATCTCTTGACGGGTTGTCTAACTCTGTGTTACGGTGTGTTTTACCCCAACTTAATTTTACGCCGGAATATCCCTTCAAATTCCTGTACTGTGAAGATTGCATGATCACACATATTATATTAAATCCCTCTGCAGCACATTTTACATCCGCCTGTTGACAATATGGTAAAAGGGATACCGGGCCCAACTACCTCTGAGAGGAAAAAGCAGAGATTTGATGCTGTCTTGCGATCCAGGCCACTGCAGCAGACTTGATGAGCGTATCTTTAAGTTTTTTTATCATGGCGACAACATTGGGACTATTTCTTTGGCTTTGTCAGCTTGTCTGAAGTTATAAGCCATGAAACAGGAAAGATAATCTAACTGGAATTATCCCTGAAACTATAACATTGTTAGATTACGGCTGACTGCCTCTAAGAGAAGCTGTGATTATTTGCGGTTCAGTTATACCAACGTATTAGAGGCTGTTATTCAATGTGCAAGTCATGTGGTCACCTGAGCCGAGTGTGCGTGGTGTGTTTCCTAATAAAGACGCAAACAGAGACCGAGTGGAAACTTTTATGACCGGCTTCCAGGCCGACACGAGAAAAACATCACCAGCCTGAGTAAGTGTGCTGAGGAGTTGGATGTCAGCACCAAACCACCACTCCCCGACCGTCGTCACACCACCCCTCCCTTTTTTTTGCCGCTCCAACTCCACCCTTTTCCTCCGCCACTCACTAAGACGACAGCCTTGGCAGCCGGTGACATCTTTCTTTCATATCTAAAGGGCAATATCATCCTTCAGTGAATCATCATGAGGTCGTGATCATGACATTTCAAAATCACATCGTCTCACAGAGATCCAGGTGCAGAATCATCTACAGGAAGCGATCCAATAGTGTTATGCAACAAACATGGTTGAAAAACATATTTATTTTCTCATGAAGTGTAACTGTATTTAAACAGACTCGCTCTCAGTTTAGCAAAGAAAAAGCTGTTGGGCTTTGCATCTTATTCAGCTACATGGAAACAATTACTTCCTGGCAAATGCAAAGCTGTTGGCAGATCCCTCTCTGAGTGTGTTTGTGTGCGCACACTTATTCACATGTGTGTAGTTACACTTAAGCACAAAGAGTATAATTGCCACTGAAACGTCACCAGGTTTCATTTGACAAGTGTGCTGTGCATCGGCCAAGCAACATCTGGACCCGAACGGAGAAATG